AGATGTTCCCAGTGGGACTGGCACCAGCTTCAGGATGATCTCACTTTGCCCAAAGTATCTTGTTTTTTTAGTAGTTCTCATTTGGCTTCTCCTCACCATGAAGAATCTCATTTACAGGTTATCACAGTGGCCGACCAGTAAAGTCCCACAACAGTACCAGAAAGGGTCCTTTGGATGAGATCTTTATTGCAAATGGCCCCTGGCTCCACCTGCTCAAGAACTCAGCATTCCTTCTCAGCAACAGCAGAGCCCAATGAGAAGGAACTGCTCCCCATCCACCTCTCACTGTCTTCGACTCACAACCCTTTTAACCTGGTTTGGTTTCGTTTTTTCTTTTTCCCCCCCTCTGATTATCTGAGAAAGCACAAGCAGCCATCACAGGGCAATTCACCCCAGTGAAGAGGCGGTATATAATGGCAAGACACTAGCTATAGTATGATTTCCAACCAGGTAAGAGAGAAGATAATGCTTTCACCAGAGCTAGACAAGCTCGTCAATAATCTTAGTTTGCTAAATGCACTTCTTTGCCACTTTTTCGTTTCATATCCTGCTTTGATCCTTCATATTCTCGCACCTGCGCCCTGCACTGTCCATCCAAGCAGCAATACAAGCTGTTTCCATCAGTGTCCCTGGAAGAACTCTGTCACACCAGCTGGGATACTACTCAGTGGGTGGAAGCCCTCCAAGAGCAGAATGTACAGCAGGAACTTTGCAAGGTGTTAGTTCTGCAAGGAAAAGAGGAATTTGGGCTGGGAGCAAAGTATAAAATTGTGCATAGCAGGATATGTTATCTTCCCTTCTGGACCTGCAGAATTATGTACTACGAAGGAGCTGCCAGCCTTCATCTCTCATAGATGCTTTGAACTCCATCTACAGCTGCAGATCTGTCCATTATACACCACCTTTGGAGAGCTAAAATTTGTCTGTGGGCCCCACGACCAAGTCAAATGATGATGTTCCATGTGGAAACCACATTGAAGTCACTGGAATGACTTATTGCATCCAGTCTGCACTTTGTCAAGCACTTTAGGATGCTCCGAGATGAAACACACTGCACAGCTATTGGGAAGAATTAGCTAATGCTGGCTAATAGCTTACATAGCTTCTCCAAAGAGCAAGAAATAAAAATCAACCTTAACTTGAAACTCCATTATATTCTCCTTTATTTCTCAAATGTTAGGAGAGTTACACAACAATGATAAATGGTAAAAGTTAAGTAACAATAATAATGAAAATCAATTCTGTTACAACAAAGAAAAAAAAAGCTTTATGGAACAAGTCCTCCTCTCGGTCTTGAGAGGAAGCAGAGCGTGCACAGAGCTGAAAAGAGGGAGTTCTAGTTCTAGTCTCAGTTTTAACCCCTTTTAAGGTCACTGTCATACACCCTTTCCTTGCTCCACAACAAGGGCTTACAGTCCATACATTACCCTAAAAGAGACTTTCATTTCTCTGCCCTCATTGAGCCAAAGTACTCACTGAGAAGTGATTGGTATCAAAATATTAGGGGTTATTATTTTAACTAACTGAACGTAAAAGGCCTGGCTTGGGAAACCAAGGAGACTATAATGAGGCAAAGTCTGCCAAGAACCTGCAAAGAGACAGGTAAAGAAGTCTATCGAGATGTAGTAGTCCATTAGTACAGTGAGAACATTGCTTTGAATAACTCGGGCAAAGCACATGTACCAAAGTGCTACACAGATTAAAAAAATTGTTGCTCCATGAGAGGCAAGTTACTG